CCGAGGGATCCGCGCAGCCATCGCTGGATGTCCAGTCGCTGGCGTCCCCGGAGCCGGGCGGCGCCGGCGTTCCGGGCTGGGGGCTGGCGTCGGCGCCCCAGCTCTGCGGAGAGAAGCGCTCTGCGCCCAGCACCTCGACCAGCGCGCGTTCCAGGCCGCAGTAGTTGAAGAAGCGCTCCTTTTCCGACAGGGGCAGCGAGCACGTGGGGCACAGCGCCCGCTTTCCCGCCGCCTCCGGGGCATCTTGGGGCGCGGTCCAACCACCGGGAGCCGTAGGTCGCTCCGTTGGGACCGGGCTGCTGGAGGAGGCGTCTCGCGGGGTGCCCAGGAAGAGGCGCCGCACCAGCCCCTGGCCCTTGGCGTTCTCTTTGTTCACCGAAGCCTTGCAGTCCCGCTTCTGGCGGTAGAAGATGAGGGAGTCGGGCCTTGGCAGCCGCCTGCCGCTACCCCGGCGGGCGGGCCTGGGCGTCCTGGGTGATGCAGGGGCCCCCAGCTCATTGCACGAGTGCGGCGTGAGCGGCCCTGGACCCCCGCGCAGGGCGGGCTCCTGGCGTCGCGCTATCACCTGGTGCGTCTTGACATACTTGGCTTTGTCGGCTTCCAGCCTCTCCACCGCGCTGGGGGTCCGTCCCCTGGATGGGGTGGAGGGGGAGGCCAGGAGCATCTTAGCAGAACTGGGCAGGACAGTGCCCCATAAGACACCTGAGTTAGGCAGCTAGTTTAGTTGCTGAGAGCAATTGGCTGGGGCTCCCTGGGGCCTGAAGAGAAAGAGGATTGGTCAGGGGGGGAGTAGATATCCCTGCTCTTCTCCAGCAGGCAGGCATTCCTGGGAATAGGATCAGCCAGCCACCCCTCCCCCATCCAGGTCAGCTTGTGCCTGCCTGGGGCAGAAGCTCAGGCCCTCCCTTACCCCATTCCTCAAAGACATTGGGCAGGGAGTCCCTGGCCACTCAGAAACATATGCCCCTTTGAGGGTTGCCACACTCTGGCTACAGGACCATGCTAAGCAAGCATCAACAAGCAGGACACTTGGAAGAGGAAATGAGGCTGGTCCCCTGCCCAATTCCCGAAAGTGGCCTCAACCGGAAAAAATACCTCTTCCCAACCCAGCAACTTGGAGTCCAAGACAAGGAGGCTTCCCAGCCACAGGCTGGCTCCAGCAGGGCCCACCCTTCCCACCCCCAAGTACCGAGGTCAGGGATATAACCACAGGGTAGGAGCCTCCAGTAATTGCAGCCAACGGCCCTGCCCAGGCCCAGCGGGGCCATTGAGAAAGAGGGCCGTGGTCACCAGGTCACATCAGCCAGCTACCTGCTACCCACTCTCTGCCCCTGCCAAGGGAATTTCAGAATGCCCAACTGTAAACATCACCTTATCTACTACTGCATTTCCATTTCATAGTGGGTGACCCTGGCCCAGAGAGGCGGGGCTTGCTCAAGGCTTACTGAGAGTTAGGGGCCCCCCCGGACTGGAACCTAGGTCTCTTGCCTTGCAGTCCAGAACTGGTTCAGATTGGATCTCTCACTTGCCTATCAGAACATCTCTCTTTTTTCTTTCTTGTATTCCCGCTGATATAAAACCAAGCAATTTCCGTTGGAGATGGGCCCCTTGCCTCACTAAAAATGTTCCTTCTACTAATTCTTCCCCAAACCTGAGCTCCCAGAAATCTGCCCTCAGGGTCCCTGCCCTCTTCTCATCCCCAAGACCCCGTGACCCTTCTCCTCCACCTCCCTTCTGCAGGGGAAAGGGGCCAGGAGGGGCTGTAAATCAAGAGCTGACAGTTTCCTTGGCAGTAACAGAACGGGCCACCCACACCGCTCAGCACACCCCATCCCATCCCTGCCCCCTTACTCCCTCCATGCTCCATTCAGCTGGGAGGGACACATCAGTTCTGGCGGCCCAGGGGACCTCAAGTCTGGAGACAACAAAGGAACAGAACTTGTCAGGGATGGGGGGAGAGGAGCCCCAGAGATGGGCGGTGGGGCAGAGACCCTGCTAACCCCACCAACCCCAGAGCAACCTGCTTAGCTTTACACACACACACACACACACACACTCACATGCTCACACACACACACACACACACACACACACCCAGGAAGCAAGGAGAGCCCGACAGTGCCCTCCTTCCTCCGTCCCACAGACTATACCAGGCAATGAATGGGTCAGATTCCAAGGTCCCAGGAGGGCACTGTGCTTATCTGACCTCATGGATACCCTCACTTCCCCTCATCCCCTCCTCCTCTTCCTAGCCCCAAGTGCAGAGGCTATAAAAAGTCCCTAAACACAGGGACCAAAATAGTCTGCTGTCCACTGCCTCTTCCCTGCCTTCTGGGTTGGCCTTGATGCCCAGCCACAGATGTCTCACCCTAGATGCCTGGCAGACATCCCTTTGCCCCCTTTCTCCCAGTCCTGAGGTTAGTGGTCCGAACTTTGCCCAAGGCTCCTGCTCTAAATGAGGGCTGGGGGACTGTGCTGTTGGCTTGGAGCCAGCCTCCCTGGCTTTGGGTCCCTGGGTACCCTCCCACCCCAGCGCTGGGCTCCGGATGCACTCACCTCTGTGTGGGGAGGCCGAATGCAGGGCTCCGTGGGCAGGGCCAGACTGAAGGCAGGAGGGACAGTAGGGACTAGAAGTAACTTTGGTGGCAGCCAAACCTCACTCTCCACAGGAAAAGCTGAGAGAGCCTCCACCCCCCCAGATTAACCCTCGCCTTCCTGACCTAGAGCCTGGCCTCTGTTAACTCCTTCCTGGTCACAGTCTCAGTGTTGGAGAGGACCTATGGACAAAGTTCAGGTTCTTTATTTCATAGATGGTCACAAAGGCCCTGTAAGTGATTTGCACGGAGGCACAGTGAGCTTGGGGCACAGCCAGGACCCTAAACAAGTTCTCCTGATTCCCAGCCTTCCTTCAGAGGCTTGGGGTGGGGACATGCTATTCACACAAGGTCAGCCCCCTCTGCTTGGCCTTGGCAAATCCTCTTGGTTGGGATGGTAAGACAGAGCAGGGTTCTAATAACTGTGCCTTTTTCCCTCTGTAGCAGGCTTAGACCTGTCCTGGTCTGGGTGTGTGGACGATGTTAAGCCTGCTCTCCATGTGGGTGAGGCCAGGAATCTGCAGCCTACGGGTGGGGACAGTGGTGCTGCAAATGTTCAGGGTGAGCCTGTCCCAGCAAGTCTTGGCGCAAAGGTCAGCTGGGAGCCCATTGGAGGTGCCTCTGCCCAAAGTCCTCTGACAGCAAAGGGATTGGCTGGGAAGAGGGTGATGAAGGGATGATTCTGGCGCCCAGCCTGGGTCCTTTGGCCTCCTGCCTCCTCTGCCCCAACTTGGGGACTTCTAGAGCTGGCATCGTTTCTTTCTCTTTCTTTTTTGTAAATTAAATTTATTGGGGTGACAATGGTTAATATGATCATAGAGGTTTCAGGTGTCGGTTTCTATGTCACAAGATCTGTATATTGCACTGTGTGCCCACCACCCAAAGTCAAATCATCTTCCATCACCATATATGGCACCTCATGTCTCAAGAGGAGCCCTCTCCCTACAGTGCTGGTATCAGGAGGGCTCTTCCCCTCTCCCTAGCAGGTAAACTCTGCAGTGCCCAGAGCTCAAAGGCCAATTTTCCTGCCAAGGGGTCCCTGCGCCCCTCTAGCTGGCCACTTTCCACAAATCCCTTTCCCTCCCTTCTAGCACTTTTTAAGATTTGCAAAGCACATTCACACCTATGCTCTCTGATCTCCTTTGTCCCTCCCAAGGGCCCTAGACAGGGCATCCAGAAGGGTAGGGAAACTGGATCAGAGAGGGGAGAGACTTGCCCAAGCCCAACCCCCAAATCCACTCTTTCCAATGCACCCTCTGCCTGTCAAGTAAGGTAATGAGTCTGAAAACCAGAAGGCCCATCTCCTGGTAAGAGATTTTTATTACCTAATTGGGATTACTATTATTATTACCTAATTGGGATTATTATTTTATCCATGATAGCTTCATATTGTGTTGTTACAACACTTTACAAAATGCTTTCATGTACTTTATCACAGTTCATCCCGGGACAGTCTTGGGGGGGGGGGG